ACGACTAAATGCTAATATATTTTCTATCTTATTAAGCTCATTGAGCGTATCATCGATATTTTCTGTTAAAATAGTCAGGAGCTGGGCAAACTTAGCATATTTGATTAGGCTACTATCTCTATAAGCGGCTCTATGTAATAACTGGATAAGTGTTGAGTTAATTTTGTTTTCATATTCAATTATCTGGAATATTACACTATTATGTTGAAACATCCACTCCTTACTAATGCTAATGTGACTATTAAATTCTGATTCGATCCTATCTTGGTTATCCTTTAAAACTTTTATGGCATTATTATATTTCGCGGCATCTAAATTCACAGTAAAACAGTTCCTGTGGTGACCCGAACCAAGAGAGAGAATGACGGGTTTACTCTTGTTGAGAAGAGATGTCGGTCGAGACACGTCTGTAACCAGCGTGGGACCGCCAAAATAAACGCAAGTACAACTCTGCGTATTGTGGAGCCCACCATACAGCTCTACATCTCCCGTTTAGACAAAAGTACGTCGGGAGAAGACGTCCTGCGTTTCGTAAAAGAACGAAGCCGATGCCGCATAGAGGATCCGATCTCTTTACATGTGCAGCGTCTGGAGTCTAATAGATCCACGAACTTCAAATCCTACGTACTCCAGGTTCCTGCATAATACAAAGAGACATTCCTTGCTCCCGATTTTTGGCCCTCTGGGGTAGTGTTTAGTTTAGTGTAAAAATTTATGTATGCTTTCAATGTCTACCATAATCACGTTACAGTTGTACGATTTCAAGTTTCCGCATAAAATCCAGCTTTGATGATTCCTCCCATGATGATGGAAGTGTAAACATCGGCGCCCAGTAACAAATCTACTGTTCTGCTACGATAGAATTCAGGGTCAGCTAGTTGGATGTTTTCAATAAACGCCCTTAATGGTTTTCCGAATGATTTGTTTGGTAAGTTATTTACTGCGTGATTCATTATAGACATCAAGATTTATGCCCTACGCGCTATAACAAGAAAATAAATTGATGTTCATAACACCCTTGCAGCTGTTCTCCTTCGCGCCTACTCCTAATTAAACTAAAAAGGAGTGATCCTTTACAATGCTAGCGAGGTAGTCCTAATCTTTGAGCGCCATTTTCAGTGATTATCGAAGTTTGGGACCCTTGGTCTATAATAGTTCTCATTGAGTGAAGGGTACCATCGATAGCTTGGACGTTGATTATAGCAGTTGCCAATAAAATCTCCTGAGTGTCCTCCAGAGACACGTGTGAGTTTGACACCGCGCGGTCGGTCGTTGCACTCGGATTTGCAGCGTTTGCTGATACGGTAAAGGCTTCGTGAACCAGTGTATGATGATTGCTTTGACAATTATGGCACCTTTTCTTTGAAAAACATTCATTACCGTTATGATTATAAAGGCAGTTTTGGCATAAAGATAGCTTGGATATTATTTGTCGCTTAAAATCGGGTCGATATGTTGAAAATGTTTCGCAATACGGAATGGCGTGATCTTTATTGCAGATTGGGCATTTTTGCTTCGGTGCGGACGCTAACCTACTTTTATTATTGAAATTATTTGATTTAAATGACGGATTTTGATTGCTCTTGAATGCTTTAAAAAATAGTGATTTTTTGAAATTAGATGGCTGAGATGATTGTTGCGGCTGCTGATTTGACTTCTGTAGGTCTGGTTTTCGTTTTGACGACTCTAGGGCTGTGAATTTAACCTCTAAAAATTGTAATAGATCTTTTCCAGTCGGTAAATCCCTTGGGTGTTTCAATGACTCGATGTAGTCGTTATGTGTGTCCGCGTCTAATTTCTGAGTAATTAAGTAAACAATCATGGGGTCCCAATTCTCTATGTTGACTCCCAGATTTTTGATGGCATTTAGACATTCATTGGTGGTATCATGAATCTTTTTGATCGCAGATGCTGACTGCTGTTGTATAGTAGGTAGATTCACTAAGACACTCATGTGAGAATTAAAAACAAGCTTTGTGTTGTTATACCGGTGGTTTAAAAGATCCCAACATACTTGATAGTTATCTGTGCTTATCTGTAAATGTTGCACTATTTTCTCTGCTTCCCCTTTTAATTTACTTTTCAGAAATTGCATTTTCTGACAGTTTGATAAGGCTCTGTTGCTATGTATAGCTTCGACGAACAAGTCCTTAAACGACAACCACTGGTGGTAGCTCCCACTGAACATGGGTATGTCCATTTTTAGGGTTGTCTTCTCCCGGTAAAGATCAGACCACATCTTGCTGTTGATAACTTTTTTCATGTTATTGAATTTTTGCTCATAGCTGGTGAACATTTCTTCATACTCTTCATTATCTTCGTACAGTTCGCTGCCTATTTACCAGTGCAAGGCATCTCGTCCAGCGTGCCTGAACCGATTTCAGAATACTCCCATTTTTCAGAGACTTTGTCGAGATCGATGCTGCTAATTGTTCGCTGAAAAGCTTTGAAGTTGCTTCTCTGCTTTCTCAACATATCCTCTAACTTGCTGCTAGTACCTAGGGTTCGGGATGCTTCTGCGTCAGCTGTAGTTTCAGGACGGAGCGCGCTGGCAGATGGTATAGCTGAAAAGCCTGTCTTTTGCAATGAAGTAGCTGGCCTGAGAAGGTTTTTTTATTTAGAGTCAATCGGTGAGTAACTAAGAATACAATTGCGTATTTTGTTATAAAAATCGGACGTTCTTTTATAGTAATTGCCAGTAAAATATTGTTACGAGCTTGAGCTTCGTGACAATAAAAATTGCCGATAAAATTACCTAAATTAACACTTTAATTTACTTTACACAAATTAAAACTAAAAACACTAATAATTAAACACACTAATTCACTTAATTCCGCTCCGAAGCTTCGCTTGTGTCGCCGAGTTCAACTCAACTCCCATCGCATCTTGCAGCGCCTATATATTTAAATTAGCAAAGAAATATCCAGAATGTTCAAGTAAACACGCGCAAGGTACCGAGCGTTCGAGTTTCGACTAGGCGCTGTCGGTTGAGTGATTTGTGATGTCATTTTCTCAATGCTCCCCTCGCTCTCGTTCCTGACACTAGATGGCGCTAGTTGACTTATTCATGCAACAATATTCATGAGATTTATCAGACTCAAAAAGCTTTAAATGATTACTTTGAAACTCCTGCCAATAACTTTCTGAAGTGCTAAGTCGCTTTTTAATATGAGCGGTCGGCACAGTCTTTTTTAAAGTTGATTAGGAGCTGATGCATAGCTCCCATTATTTGGTTCTGGCTTGCTAGAAGATCTTCCATTTTGAACAATTACTGTAGTTGCTGATTATAATAGAGAGCTGTAGACTTGCTGTGTGACGATGCTGTGTGAACTTATTCGATGAACAATAAAAATAAGTGTATGAGGCGAAAATACTGATCGGGCGATATGTGCGGTTGCACCGTACAAAAATAAAATAAGAATATATAGAATAAATATAAAAAGTATATAACCCGTTATATAAATCCTAATTGTTATTATTAAAATGTTTAAGACGTGTAAATATATGCTTAATGTAAATATATAGGAGTTCCAGCTGGACTCTTTTTTCAATAAGTCAATGATTTTATAGGGCGACACTCTCACACTGGCACATATTGTCTCGTGAATGGTTCTTTGTACCCCAAACGTGGGGCACTTCTGCAAAGGATGTTCCAACGTTTGAGTTGAAATTTCGTCGCATGGACATCTATCATCAGGGGTGATCTTGAAACGGTATAAGTATGACTTGTGAAATCCATGACCGGTGAGAACTTGGGTTAGGTGTAAGTTGGGATAAGTGATTTTATTGGGTGTGGTGATGTTGTCAAGAGTGGGAAGATGTGATTTGGTGAGCCTGCCCTGTTCCGCACTCTCATAATGTTTGCTCCGTATTAAGTGTTTAATGTGTGATATGGCAAAATGTGTGTAGTCTGGTGCTTTGTGTAATTTACATCCAGCATTGGTGGCCTCGTTCGCCACCTCGTTTCCCACAATGCCCACATGACTTTTCACCCACACTAGCGTAATGCTGCCAATCTTCTTGATTTCATGAATTATTTTATGGATGTCTACAACAATACGGTGTATGTTGCTACTACTTTGTAGGGCTTTGATAGAAGAAAGTGAGTCAGAAAATATGACAGTTGCCTTGTTATTATTAAAAGCAAGCCTTATAAATAGCAAGCAGTTCAGCCTGGAACACTGAGCATGAGTCACGCAGTTTATATTTTTTTTAACAATAGTGATGTGGGAATTGACCGGCGACACGTAGCAAACGAAGGCAGCCCCCCCCCCCCGCTCCGTCCTCTTGCTTACTGCCGTCTGTGTAAATACAGACCGAGTCAGGACTGATGACGGTGTCCACCTTTTGCTGGCTGTGTACGGTGTCATAATCAATAGAGATCCTCTCACGGGGATGCAAGTGTTTGTGTGGTGCAGTTGGTTTTTCGAAAGTTATGTCATACGGTATAAAGTATGATGTGCAAGAGAATCTAGTCCTTTCCACCGCATGTACCTCCTTGATTTTTAGGTCAATAGTTATGAATTATGCTAGCAGCCGCCGTAGAGACCATACGGAATGCCTTAATCGCCTTGATAGAAAATCCTCGCTGATACTCTCCAGCCGCTTTTTGACCCCTCTTTTTGAAACGACATGTCCCCATATACCAGCAGCGTATGTAACAATAGGTACAATTACCTGTTGGTATATGGCGCGTATATTCTCTGGGTGAGCACCCCAGGTAGGTCTGGTGTATAATCAAAGTTTGTTGAAGATTTTAATCGTCTTGCTGATGACATACTGGATGTGCTGTGATGTACCCAACAATTTGATATCAGGGGAAAATTTTAAAGTGTGCCCATCCATAAAGATTTCTGCAGCATTTGTACCAGATGTAAGTGCGATCATTTGTGCTTTAGAGGGACCAAACACCAATTTGACACTTGACCCCCAGTCAGTAATACGCAAGAGCGCAGCGTTAGCTACACTCTCCAGCCGGTGGACCTCTTTGGCTGCAACAACTAAAACACATCATCTGCATATGCCTGAATATGGCAACCTGCCGGAAGTTCCGCACCAAACAGTTCATCGAGAATGATGTTCCACAATACCGGGCCGCAAGCAGAGCCCTGAATGCACCCCTTGGTCTTGGTGACTCTGACCTCGACGTGATCAAGAGTCGTCATGCGATTCCGAGCGTAACTACGAATGAGTCCATAGATGTTGCGTGTGCAATTAATTGTTCTCAGCCTGTGGAACAGTGCCGGCCACCAGGCGTTATCGAAAGCCGCTTGGATGTCCAAGGATAATGCAATTACCAGTTCTCCATTGTCTTTAGCCCAACGGATTACGTCAAGCGCAGTGTCGATGGCCATGGTCGAATTGGTTTGCTCACGGAAACCAAACCGTGGACAGCTGTGGCTGTTGTTAGCAGCCCAGTAAGTGACGCGCTTGATGAAAAGTCTTTCCAGTAGTTTGCCAAACACAGGCAGCAGCCCAATAGGACGACAAGAGTTTAATTCTCCGTAGTCACTCTTGCTTGGTTTAAGAATGATTTTGACATAAGCCACCTTCCAGCAGTCAGGAAAATGCTGGAGCGCAAGGCAACTGTTCAGTATGTCAGTTAATAATTGTGGGTAATTCTTAGCGAACTGAAGACAAATATCCGAGGTTAGGTTGTCCAACTCCGGGGCCTTGTTAGGGTTCATTAGACTCAAGTGTTCCGGCACCTCCTCTGAAGTGAAGGGTGGCTTGTCATTGGTGTCCAATATATCATCAAGATGAGCTAATAGCTCATGATTTCGGGATCGTTGTTGGGTAGATCGTAGGGATAAAAGTGGTCGAGCAACGCGGTTGCAGTTTCATAATTATCAGCCGTGAACTTATTATTTATTTTTAAAGTAGTTGGTGGACGTCTAGCAGTGGGCTCTTTTAACAATCTGTTAGTTAGGGACCAAATAAAGTTTCTGGTGGACTTAGCTCTTAAATTTTGTGTGTATGCTGTTTTGAGTGTTATGTTTTGCTCAACTAAGTCCTCTATGGCTAGACCGCGTCTCTTGGGTTCCTGTATGCAATGATGCAATTTTATTATTTCACTTCTTCAGGCCACCAAGGGGGCTTGTATTTCCCTCCCTTTCCCCCATTCACATGCTTTTACGACAGGCAACGTGGATAATCTTCACAACTTTGGCTATGAGATCATCTAGCTCTAAGGGATTCAGGGCAGATATGTTGGTGTCCAAGATGTCATATTGTTGCATGTGTAAATGTAGAGTTTCATTAAATAAAGGCCAACAAGACTTTTTTGATTTATAAATGAAGGTGGATGTGTTGTTGTTTGTGTATAAATCAGAGTTGGGACTATTAAGACAACATTTTATAGCATTGTGTTGGGATGAGGTACATATTTGGGGGTTGACCTCCCAGTTCGATATAAGATGATAAGTTGACTCTGATGACAGTGTGATGTCGATGAACGACCCCCTGTGCCGGCCATGAGTGATCGTTCCAAACGTAGGCGATTCGCCAGTGTTACAGACGACCAACCAACGACCAACCCATTGCCATACACTAGGTCGATCACGTCCCCACCCCTAACATGGCGACTGGGCCGCCCCAAATGGGATGCCAACCGTTAAAATCACTCCCAATTATTTTAGGTGAGTCGCCTGTTGCCTTGAGAAAGGCATCCAGTTTGTCCAAAGTGGCTGACTCATCTCTGTCCGGTTCGATGTATACTGATGCTATGTTTATAACACGATTCCCAGCTGAGAGGCGAGCTACACAGAGATTAGGTGTGGAGTATTGTGTAAGCCCTATTATGGAGCCACACCAAGGCCTGACAAAAATGCTGGCCTTAACTCTAGCTGATGATGGGAACTGTATAATTTAGACACCGTGAATAGCTTTAAGTTCCATACCCGATCCAACATACGGTTCTGATAATAAGACAATGTCATGGCTACCAGCCATGAAAGATACTAATAATTCGTGTAGACTGTTCTTCGAGCGATCAATATTGCACTGCAAAAACTTAATATTTTTATGATGTAAATCCATAATCGATTCTTTGGATAATTCTGTCTCATGGCTCGCAGTCTGGGGCATTTATCTGAATTGGCGGTGTGTTTGCAGTCATCTTTCGAATTAAACTTGGCATTGTGTGATGAGCAGTTAAAGCATTTCACACTATTGGGATTATTTTGAACAGGGCATTTATCGATTTGGTGTTCCTTGCTAGAGCAATGCGAGCAAGGACTATCCTCTGATGTGCATTTTGATCTCATGTGCCCAAACTGAAGGCACTTGTGGCATTTTAAGAATGGGGAGAAGCTGTTCACAGTGACCCTTTGGTGGTCCACACAAACCCTCCCCAAGTCGAGAATCTTACAATATACTTTAGCCTCTGCCAGGAATACCGCGTTATATAAGTTGCTATTGCGGTTTGCACGTTTAAAACGGAGTCGGAAGTTGTCACAGTCACGACTCTCACTGTCAATCAGGTGGGTTAATTCAGGATTCTGAGTACTGATTAGCTTAACCAGATCCTCCGAAGGAACATTCTTGGAGATATGGATCTTTCCTTCAGGATAACCATAGGCTTGATCATGCGCACGGGTTCTGCTCTTACCTCCTTGCTATTCTCGAGCCTGGTGAGTGTGTCATCCCTTTGAGTCGCCTTCTCAAACTCCACACGGAGTTTATTATTGGGGACAGGTTGTACTCTTGCAGGCGCATTAGTCGAGTCCCTATATGAAATACACTTTTTAAACAATTCCACAGCCTCCTGACGCGTTTTCACACCCTTAGCCGGGGTGATGATAATTGCAGGCTTTGAAGTAGAGGATGCAGCGCGGGGGGCGGGCCCTCTCGTCGACGACGCTACTCCGCTGGCTGCAGCAGCAGCCCGCGCGTACGTTGGTTTTTTCACATTAGTATTGACCAACTTTTTAAAGCTGGCCATCTCTTCCCGGTTACACGCCTTAATTTCCCCCAGAGCTGATGTGCTGGAGAAGACAGTGGTGTTAACGCTGTTAAGGGTTCTGGTGGCCCTGCGAATTTCCTCCATGGCCAGGCTTATTAAGCGTTTATTCACTGCAGTTACACTTTTACCTTCATTAATGGCAGCGCCAACACATGAGGTCAGCTTGTTGATGACACTGAACGAAACTAAGTCCTTGACCTCCTCGGCTGAGACCGGGAGGGATGGAGTTTCACCCCGCGACGGCGCCATATTCACACAGCACACATGAGTTTGTATATAAAGTTTATGACACAAGATTTATGAGTTATTTAAAAAAAATTGTCTATAAGTAGTTTATGTTTTGGTTTAAAAAGTATTTATTTAATGAACAGAATTAATTGCACTAGTATCACTATAAGGCGGTACCATTTTATAGTCTCAAAGTGCACTTCACAAAATAAAATTTAGTTTTTAGTCCTATGGGATCATCAACTTACGTAGGGGTGGGGGGGGGTTTCTGAAGGTCCGAGGGGCTATATTAATATATAATACGTATTATATATACCCGCCAAAAATGACGTCAGAATTGACCTATCTTGCACCGTTTCTGAGGTAATTAGATTTGAAAGTGGAAAAATTGAACTTTTTGTCGGAAAACAATTTTAAATTTTGGAAAAAGCTTGCAACTTTTGAAATACTTTACAGAAAATTATGACATTTTGAGGGTTTAGTTTATAAAATGCACTCTCTGTTGACACTATAAAATCATAATTTATGGAGTATCCCTTCAAGAGGTATTAAATTTGAAAAGTACAGTACCGTATTGAAGTATGAAGGAAAGTCTATTTCTGGCTAAACGGTTCAGCTGATGATTGTCCTTAATAACCCACTTTCAGAACCAGCCGCACGCTTCTGGTTTCCAAGATGGTTTATGGAAAACCCTTGGAAATTCGGTTTTTCCTGCACAGAAAATTTTCGAACTTGGTACGCACTTGGATCTCACATGTGTCCACCTATTCCACTAATAAAAACTATATATTATGTAACAAAAAATCGGACTTAGGCCAGAATTTTAATTCACTTTTTTTATAATAATATTTTTCCCGAGATTGCTGCTTCATGCGGTTTTCACTATGTTATAGAGGGTCAAATTCCGCGTCTTTTGATGTATAACACGTCACTCCAGCATAAGATGACCGAACACGTGTATTTAGGAAAAATGTTAATATCTCGGTTTTTCCTTAACGAAAAATTACGAAATTTGGTATCCACTTAGAGCTATCATTTATGCACTTAATTGGCTATTGAAAACTATACGTCCTCGATCAAAAATCGGGCGCGGGCAAGCAAATGTTAATTTTAGTCACTTTTTCACGTATAACTTTTTTCGCAAGAATCTCCGCTTCAATCTGTTTTCACCATAGTGCAGAGCGTAAAATTGATATATAATAAGCGATGGCGCGAGACTTGTTAGGTTAGGTTGGGTTAGTTTTTTTTTAAACTAGTTCCTCTAACATGGAGATCAGGGACTTTTTTCATTTTTTTTTATTTAATTTTTTGCTTTTTTCTTATTTTACTTTTTAACTTACATTCTATTACAGTTCTTATTTTTATTTTACATAATATGTCTTACATTACTACATTCATATTTATTACTATATCTTAGTTTACATTTGTTTTTAGGTTTTAGCTTTAGCTCTTACATTCTGTTATAGTTTTTATTTCTATTTAACATATGTCTTACATTATTATATCATTTATATTATTGCTATTCTTAACCTAGTTTTATTTTTACCATTATAACGGAGCTGTTTACGTTATATACCTATATATAATTTACAGTTCCTTTTTTGTACTTTTATTTATTTATTTCTTATTATTTTACATAATATGTTTTCTTTACTTATTTTTATTGTTAATTCTATTTCTATATCGTTTCTGTCTTTACTATATACAGGGCATTCTGTTATAATATGTATAATACTTTCTTCTTGCATCGGATTGCAGGCGCAAAGAGGGCTCTCTTTACATTTGAATCAAATATTCTGAGAACCCGCCATGTCCTGTCATCACTTGCACCGTCGGCGAGTTCATGTAAATCTTTCTTACTATGGGATAGGCACTTAGGACGTCTGGAAAAAAGATCTTTGTTATTGAGGCTGTTTTTCCTTCAATGTATCGTCGTCGGTTCCATTCGTCAAGCGTATCCAGTCTAATATCGCTTAACGAATTACCCCGGACACTTAATCAAAAAAAAATCTGGCCCTCTTTTTGTTTTTAATGCGGCTTTTTAAGCTAGTTTTTCTGCTCTCTCGTTTCCCACCAATCCTGCGTGAGCTTTGATCCAAAATAATTTGATGGCTTTCCCTTGTTTTTTTTTTAATTTGATTAATGTTCATTCTAGTCTCTACCGCTAGGGGATGGAGGGAGACGCTTTGTACAACTGTCTGAAGAGTAGACATCGAGTCGCTATATACGTGACAGCTTTGTGCCGGGTGTTTTAGCTTGTAGCTAGTGGCTTCTCGAATAGCGAGCAACTCCGCCTGGAAGATGGTGCAGAAATTTTCCAACTTTTTTTTCGGCGTCGTCTCCCCGTATAAAGCCCCCTCCTCTACTTCCTCGAAGGGGTTCCCCCCCCAAAAAAAAAATAGTAAATATATTATATTCCCCTTTAAATTAAAAATGATATATTTGTGACCAAGATATATAAGATATGTTTTGATCCTTCTAAATGATCTTTCAAAAGGTTTAATAATAGGCCGTTTGTAATATTTTGGCGTGATCGTCTTAGTTAGGACCGTTATTTACGTTGTGTTCGTTTAGTAACTTAGTTATTTTAGGTGTCTTTTGGAAGAATGAATATTCACTAAAGCAATTGAAAGCTGTTGGTAGTGCCTTATAAGCTAAGTGAACCCCGTTCACGAAGACAGGGCTCGAGAAAGGTTAAGGACATAAAACGTCCCTATTCCACTTGTATCAGGTTTGCATTATTAATTTATTATTAATTATCCCTTCCCGCTTGGAAAAGGCTCACAATATATTTATACAAAATACCCGATACAAGGGCTTCGCTCTCCTACATTTATTTAAAAAAAATGTAGGGGAGGCACACGGCCCCACACACGCCGTGCACGGTGAGTGCCAACTATTTTGATGCACTCCCCCCGAAGGGAACGCTAATTCGGGAACTGGACCGTAGTCCACAGTAAAATAACTGGCGAACCAGTAAAAGAGGCTTGGCCCCTGGTTAGTGCGTAAGCACAAATATCGACCGAAGTCGCGCATGTCAATGCGTGTAAACGCCATACAGAATACGAACGAATCCAGCCACAGTGAATGTACGTCACACGGTTTAGGCAAATAGGCACACTGGCCGTAAACCCTCCGTGAGCGCCACCACCTGCCAGACCGCCGCTCCTGCAGACGTGATGTAAGCGTATGGCATCACCACCAATTGCATGATCAGCACGGCTACTAGCCGCAGAGCGTGTCATGAGTCTACTGCTCACCTCAAGGGAACGGGGTCCCACGTTGTGCGGCTTTCGGCCGCAGCCTTGAGAGTCTCCTCAGATCCTCCCGCCAGCTACCACCCGCATGAGGTTGACACATATGCTCCACCAACCAATACAACGGCAGATATAGCCAAAAGGCAGTTATAAGATAAGAGTAATAATTCGCCATCAGAAAGGGTTTGTGTCACTGACGTTGAGTAAATGCATTTTCGATCATGTTTGTCTCACCCACCAACAACGACAAGTTGCCGTCAATCATTCAAAGGTGGGAAAGTTACAGAGATATTATGTTATTATATAAAACATCATGAAGGGCAGACAGTCTGCAGCCCCGTAATGAAGGTACCCGACTTGGGCAAAGCTACTTAGGTGTGAGTCAAACCAAGACGCAGAGAGCGCCATTGAGAATAGCGTCCCACCAAACAACCATCGCAGAGACGCAATGCTGCAGAACGCAACAAGCATCAATACGACTATCGTCGGGCTTACACCATCCCAAAGTCCCCCGTACATTCCAGCAGACATCACCACCCGCATACCTCCATCGACAAGAACCACAAGAGAGCGTCGAATCAGGCGCAGCACACCCGCAGATCCATCACAAAACGCAATACCGCAAGTAGCAGTAAGCATCGAATGCAACTATCATATGGATGGCGCCCCCTCACAACACACCCACATGATCCCTATCGACTTTGGTAACAAGGTTTGTATTGTTGTTAACTAAAAAAATATCACCAAGGTATCATAGTACCACGCTACTAAGACGCCAGTGAACAAAACTCCACGTATTCGTATCATAGCGCTAATGCACTAAGACATGAAGTTGAGTATGCCTGTTACACTTAAAAGTGCTACCAAACACACTCATCTCAATCCGAAAGATAGACGACGCATCGCTATGTGCTACGACGCCGCCCACAAACGGTATGGGTGTGCGATGTCCACGAGAAAGCCGTATTGCTACAACAAACCCGCTTACCACCGGCACTAAGATGTTAATTGTATACCTCCATCGACCAGAACCACTAGAATGCGTCGAATCAGGCGCAGCACACCCGCAGATCCATCACAAGGCGCAATACCGCAAGTAGCAGTAAGCATCAATGCAACTATCATACGGGTGGCGCCTCCTCACAACACACCTACATGATCCCTATCGACTTTGGTAACAAAGTTTGTATTGTTGTTAACTAAAAATATCGCCAACGTATCATAGTAGCACGCTACTAAGACGCCAATGAACGAAACTCCACGTATCATAGCGCTAATGCACTAAGACATGAAGTTCAGTATGCTGGTTACACTCAAAACTGCTACCAAACACACTCATCATCCCAATCCGAAAGATAGACGACGCATCGCTATGCGCTACGACGTCGCCCACAAACGGTATGGGTGTGCGATGTCCACGGGAAAGCCGTATTGCTACAACAAACCCGCTTACCACCGGCACTAAGATGATATGTCCAGGACACATCGGTTAGCGAGCCCAAGTTTACCTCATACCAATTGCTCGTAAAGCAGCATACACGCCACCATAATAATCCTTTTTCAAGTCCCTAATAAGGACTAGTCATTTTGCTACAGTACTAGGAGCAGTCGGTCACCCGACCACCACATATAATGCTTATGCATCAAGGAGACCTTCTATAACAGCGGTCGGCAACCTTTTGGCGGGCAAGGGCCACTAGGTGGCAAAATAAACTAAAGGCGGGCCGCACTTGTGATTTACACACTTATTTATTCATCAAATCCCATAGAAAAAATGAAAATGCCATTCAAATTGTTAAAACATACGGAATTTAATTCGTACATGTAATTACATTACGTTTATAGCTAGAAAATAACGGAATTAAAATAGAAATTAAAACTACAAAATTACTAATATACTTTCAGTGTGATGTCTGAGGTTGTATTTGGGAGGCTATTTCTTGTATGTTAGCTGTCATATTTGTAGTTGCAATTCGTAGAATGGCTCTCAAATGCTCATCTGTGAGACGAGATGCACATTTATTTTTTCTGTAATTGACAATTGAAAAAGTTTGTTCGCATAAATAAGTGCTACCAAAAATTGTAATGAACTGCTGAGCAAACTTTTTCAATTCGTCAAAATCAGAAGGCAAGCTACCATAAAACTTAACAAGATCTTTGAGTTCATAGAAAGTGCTTTTAAGAACATCATTGGACTGGAGATCAATCATGTTCATTTGTAAATTACTCGGTACTTCCTCAATATCACATGAAAAAGGGTTTGCAAACACCTTCAGTTTACTTGAAACTTTTTCAAAATCACCAAATCTGTCGCTGAATTGAGATTGCAGTTGTATTAAAATATCCTTCATTTTATCAATTTTCCAATGAAAATTAATTCCAGCTTCCTCAACAGCCTCTTTACAATTCGGAAAATGATCCAACTTTTTTTTCGTCAATATGTTTTATAAAGAGTTTAATTTTCATTTGAAATGCTTTTACGTCTGTGTACATATCAGAAATTAGTTTTCTTTTTACCTTGAAGCCTCACATTTAGCGTATTTAATTCATGAGTTACATCTGTCAAAAATCCAAGGTCTATTAACCATTGAGTGTCTGTCAGCTCTGGAATAGATTTGCCTTTTTCATTCATAAAAGTATTGATTTCTTTTCTGAGATCAAAAAATCTTTTTAGCACTGCGCCTCTACTTAACCATCGCACTTCAGAATAATAAACAACATCTCGATGATTTGCTTCCGTATCTGACAGAAACTGTTGAAATTGACGATGAGTCAATCCATTTTTTCTGATGTAGTTTACAGTCGATACCACGATGTCCATTACTTCTTTCCATGATACGACCTTGGAACATAACGCTTCTTGGTGGATGATGCAATGGAAAAATAATGGGATGGCACATCCTATCTCTGCCAGTTTCGATTTGATTCTACCTACCAAACCCTTATTTTGTCCACTCATGTTCCTGCCTCCGTCAGTTGTAACACTTACCAATTTTTCCCATGGTAATTGCATTGATACTAGCGCTTGTTCTAAGTTACAAAACAAATCTTCTCCGGTAGTCGTGCCCTTCAAACTACATAAATGTAAAAGCTCCTCATAGACATTAAAGTTCTTATCGATTCCGCGAACAAATATTAAAAGCTGGGCAGTATCAGTAACATCATTACTTTCATCGGTAGCTAAAGAGAACCATTCAAATTGTTGTGCTTTTTCCCGGAGTTGCTGACATAAATTATCGCCCAAATCTTCAGTTCGCCGGGTACACGTTCTTGCAGAAAGACTTATATTTTCAAATTTTTTTTTTAGGTCGGGGCACACCTCCTCAGCCATGACTAAAGCACATTGTTTTATAAGTTCGCTGTCGGTAAATGGTCGGCCAGACTTCGCAAGAATTTCCGCTACCCTTAAACTTGCACGTATATTCGACTCGTTACTTTGTACTTGAACCTTAAAAACATTTTGTTGATTCTTAACTGAAGATTTCAGTGCGTTAATTTTATTTTTTCGTGATTCACCCACTACGCATGCAAATTTAGCTTTACGCTCGCTATCATAGTGGCGTTTGGCATTATATTCTTTTTTGTATAGTAAGGGTTTTTTTGGCATATTAAGCATAGCAGTTTGCCATTGCAATTAATAAAAAAGTATAAATCTGTCCATGCATCGTTAAATACCCTATTTTCTTCTGCTAACTTCCTTTTTTTAGAAGCCATTATCAACTGTAACAATAAAAGCATTATTACCAGACCAAGCTTACGTAGATCGGTACCTATCAAAAGTGTATAATAAAAAGTAATCTCACACTTACCGAAATCAAAACAAAAACGCAACAAATGAAATTGTTTCACTAATCACGCATCAAAGTAGGTAATTGACGGAGAGCGGAAAGCAACTGTCCTCGCTAACGTTCGTTTGTTCCGCCCGCGCCCCTCCCGCGCGTCGTTCAATAATTATTGTTCATTCGCGAGCCAAGCGAAGCGGGTTCCACACTACTATACGGTTGTGCGGGGTTCGCGCGCGGCGGACAGATAGTCCGAGATTCCTATTTATTTTACACTTATAATGTTTGCTACAACATAATACTTTTAATGTTACAGTTATGTTAAATACGCTAAATGTCAGGCTTCAAGGTAAAAAAAAAAACTAATCTCTGATATATGCACATTTCATCCGCGGGCAGAGCGAAGCGCGTTATACAATATTGACTATAGCTATACGATACGCTATATGTTTGTGGTTCGTTTATGCATCTATTTTGATATTATTAGGATTTATTTACATAACATTCACGGGCCGCAAGTAGAACGTCCGCGGGCCGCATGCGGCCCGCGGGCCGCGCGTTGCCGACCGCTGTTCTATAATAATACTTTTGTATCATAGACCTTACTTTCATATGTCATTCATATATAGGGCTCGAACCCACGACCCTACTATTGTAATGCAAATTCATCATAGAGATCTTCTATAGTATTGCTTTTGTATCATAGACCTTAATTTCATAAGTCATTAATATATAGAGATAATATATATAAAGCTTGGCGTGCTCAGCAGAGCGGGACAGTATTTCATGCCGGCACACCGCCTGCAACTTTACAAGGCGCAGGTTCGGCCGCTCATGGAATACTGTTCCCATCTCTGGGCTGGGGCTCCCCAGTACCAGCTCCTTCCACTTGACCGCATCCAGCGCAGAGCGGCTCGAATCATCGACGACCGAGTGCTTTCCGATCGGCTCGATTCACTGGCGCTGCGAAGAGATGTTGCATCTCTTTGCGTATTTTATCGCATCTATCACGGGGAGTGCTCTGAGGAATTATTCGGATTAATCCCAGCCGCCAAATTTCGTGAACGCACTACACGGCAAACGTCCCGATACCATCCACACCATCTGGATGCTTGGCGGTCCACCACTGTACGTTTCAAAAGGAGTTTTCTTCCGCGTACAACCTCTTTGTGGAATAATTTACCCCCGGTGATTTTTCCGGACCGATACGACCTGGGGACCTTCAAGAAAAGAGCTTACTCCTTTCTAAAGGGCCGGCAACGCACCTGCAATTCCCCTGGTGTTGCGGTTGATCATGGGCGGCGGTAGTCACTTAACATCAGGTGAGCCACATGCTCGTTTGCCCCCCTCTTCTATAAAAAAAATAAATATATATAGGACTTCAACCCACGACCCCATTATTGTAATGCAAATTTATCATGGAGACGTTCTATAGTTTTGCTTTTGTATCATTGAGTTTAATATCATAAGTCCCTATATTAGGGACTTTAAATATTTTTTCAAGTTTTTAAATAAATTTATTTATTATGAAAGACAATATTTTGCCTTTAATTTACTATTATTGGTCTAATGTCGAAATATATTTATATAAACTTTATGTTTATTAATGTAATTTTATTGCTTAATATATATATATATATATATATATATATATATATATATATATATATATATATATATATATATATATATTTCCTACTAACATCTACCATTACAGGGAAAACCTAAATCGATAAATGTAGCATCTCAATTCAAAAAGTAACAATTCAAATGGTAAAAGATTACTAATTACAACACAATAATTAATTTAAATAACAATACATAATAATTAATTTCAATGACAATACATTACAATCAATTGTATACTACAATTTAAGAATAACATATTGTAAATAATGTCACTTTTGCGAATTCACTCCGTGAACACGAAAATAAGTCCAACTTCTCAGCTACCAAATTTAGTATGTGTATCGTTCGCGTGAGGGGGGTATTGCGAACCAGTTTAGTCCTGCCGCGTGGCATCGCGAGCAAGCTCGGCCGTCGTCGCCGCTGTACATACCTATCAGGCACGCATAAGCTTATCCACTGCAGCACACCCGGGTTGCTGATGTAACCACGGAACACCCTTAAAATATAGATTACCAGCGCTAGATCTCTTCTAGTTTCCAACTTGTTGTGTCCAACCATACCTAAAACAAACAAGGTTGGATACATCAAGGGGTAGGATGGATAAACCCCATAAAGCTTATGATATATAAATCGCGTGAATTTATTCTGAATGCGCTCCAGCATAAGATTGTATTTATTTTCATGTGGAGCCCATATTGCTGAGTTACACTCCAGCTGACTCCTTACTAGAGCATCATACAGCACTGAGATTGCTTTAATGTTGGTAAATTTTACTGCTCTGCGAATGATAAACCCTAGTCGTTTATAAGCTTTCTTACATATATTCATGGTGTGCTCCCGGAATGTCAATTTGACATCCATCTGGACTCCAAGATCCCGGACTGATTCCTCCCTCTTCATTAGCTCGCCATTCACCTTATAGTTGTAATGGAGTGGTGCCCTTGCACGACTAAATGATAGAATAGAGCATTTTGAAATATTAAACTGTAGTTTATTTTTATGGCTCCATTCAACTGCTTGGTCGATATCTTGCTGAAGGTGCCGACAATCATCCTTAGTCTTGATGGCTAAAAGCAACTTTAGGTCGTCTGCAAATAACAGACATTTAGCCTCTCTTACTACTTCGGGTAGATCATTAATCATTATGTTGAACTCTAACGGCCCTAAATTACTACCTTGACTCACGCCAGACCTAGTAAAATAAGGCTCCGACCGGTACCCGCCATACTCCACATACTGTTTTCTATCTCTCATGTAACTTGCAAAAAAATGAAGCAGTTTAGGTGTGCAGCCAGCTTTCGCCATCTTTGACAGTAGGATATCGTTATCTATCAAGTCGAACGCCTTCCTAAAATCAAAGTAGGCGGCATCTACCTGCAACCCTGCATCAACATGAGGAACCAAATACGTCATGGCATTTAAGAGGTTACTAGTTGTGCTCATCTCTAGCCGGAAGCCGTGCTGGGCGTCCGATAATTGCGGTGCAACTTATTCCTGTACACTGCGCTGAATGGCTCCCTCAAACATCTTCGCAGGTGCTGAGAGAATCGCCACTGGTCTGAAGGATTCAACTGTAGGTTTGTTACCTCCCCTTAGGTATCGGAATAACACGCGTGATTTTCCAACTTTCTGGAAAATATGAATTCTTCAGACACAAGTATATATATATATATATATTTAAGACTATTTGTGATGCCCCTTTATATTGAATTTAATTATTAATAATAATATTGGGCCGTCACATTATGTTGGTCCATTTGTGCCCCGTCCTCCAGACAAATAAATTGCAGGCCCCATTGGTCCGCGGGGTGTGGCATCCTATCGTAATCTACTTTCACTTCCATTTCCCGATCTTCTACCATTCGCCGGGAGTGGCCTTTCTTTACTTCATAAATCAAGGCTGCTTCCCGGACCCTCAGATCCAAGGAAAGCAACCCGGCGAGCAGTAGAGTCGAGTGGAGGGATACAGTTTTATATGATTTAATTATTTTTTGTATGAACCCTCGCTGCACCATGTCGAATTGTTTTTTGATTGTTTGCTTATTTGTTGCCAGTGCCCATGCACTTGCTGCATACATTATGATTGGCTCCACGACCGCTACATATATGATCCTAATAATCTCGGAGTTTAGACCCCAATGGACCTTTTCGGCTCTACACAGCTGACGATACAGGTTCTGTACCTTATAGCACACATTCATTACGTGCGTGTTAAAGGTCAGCCTATCGTCCACTGTGAGGCCGAGTATTTTAATTTCTTTGGTCAATCCAATAATTTCCCCACCCATCTTCAGAAGTGGTGAGTCAAATTTGATCTTGTTGATTCTTCAATTTCTTGAGGATTTGAAGTACAATGAAACTCCGCGATAGGATATAGTAGTACATTTAATGAGTAAATACAATAATCTTTGACACTAGTTGTCGGGTACAGAGCTCAGAGCGTAATGGCGCGCCCGGCCAGTTCGTGATGATGAGAGACGTCACTGTCGGACGCGTTCAAGTATGGAGATTAAACATCCTCCCCCCTCAAAGTCTTCAGAAATTTTAGGTGCTTCTGCTGTGGCTGAACTCGACAAAGGGCACAGGTTGTGGACGGCACGGCGCACAATGCCATTCGTCATATAGACATCTGCAACTCGTACAATTCCATCAGAACCAGGATGTAATTTATGTATTCGCGCCATACGCCATTTCAAAGGTGGTACATTAGCCTCTTTTATAATTGCTAAATCCCCTTCCTGAAATCCTCGTTGATTGATCTGCCATTTGTATCTTTGTTGTAATTCGCTCAAGTATTCTTTTCGCCAGCGTTCTCAGAAGTGTTGACGCAGTTTTTCAAGGCGTCGGTACCTATTAAGTCTATTTAAATTAATGTCTAATAAGCTTTCCGATGGTAGCGATGTAAGTGGCCTGCCGATCAAGAAGTGCGCTGGTGTTAAAGGATTGAGGTCATTGGGGTCTGAGGAAAGCGGGGTTAATGGCCTAGAATTAAGGGTTGCCTCAATTTGTGCAAATAAAGTAGATAACTCCTCAAAGGTAAGATGTTTGTCGCCTAATATTCTAGTTGCGTGGTACTTTGAAGATTTGACACCTGCCTCCCAAAGTCCGCCAAAATGCGGAGAATACGCAGGTGAAAATTTAAATTGTATGTCTTCGTCAGCAGCAAAACCAGATATGCTTTCACAGTTCAATTTTAAAAATTTTA